AGTTGAACAGCCATGGGTTAGACAGCATCATCGTTGCAATGAAAATGAATTTGGGCCACCTCCAGGAAACGAAGGAGAGCAAGGGAGCCTAGCATGGCTGTAGGGTCACCAAGAGTCAGAAATGACTTAGCGGCTGAACAACAACATTACCACCTGTATAATGCATTACCACAATATTGTTGTTGTTGCATAACATTGCATCGTCATAATAATAGTAATAATAGCAATAATTATAATGCACAACCCGTATCAACCATCAGAGCCAGTCAATGATATTTGTGATATATTTTTTAAAGGTTCAGTTGACTGTGTTTCATGTTTAATGAATAAAAGTTTATAATAACAATAACAATAGGAATAACAACAACAATAATATAGTTATTATGTTAACATCATCTGTGTTGCAAAGAACTGTAGCTGCTGCCAAAGTGCTGACAAATGCAGCCAAGCTTGTTAGCTTGTTATAAATTTATAGTAAGAGCACCTGTAAAAGAGAAACATCTAACTGAGAAATCTAAATGCCAACTACCTTAAAACAACTTGTTTTAACTTGTGGAACAATAAGCAAACTTCATCCAGCATAAACTAAGAAGCTATTAAGAAGCAAGAGGACCAGTAAGGAAGGTGGGATCGAGTATATTCCATACCAGAGAACTATGAAGTAGTACAGTGGTGGCTAACCTTTTTGGGCTCCTGTGCCAAAAATTGTGTGCACGCTTGTGCACTCATGTGCCAGCACCCAGAAGGCAATGCGTACACCCCCCCACACGCCCCCTGCTCACGCACATGATTTTTGGCCCATTTGAGGCCTTTTTCAGCCTGCCAGAGGCTTGAGGGAACCCTCTGCACATTTTGCAGTCTGAAAAATAGGCCTGTTTCATTACTTCCTGTATTTCCAGAAATACCGGAAGTGATGAAAGGGGCCCATTTTTTGGCCCACAAAGCCTGCAGAGACTTCCCTCAAGTCTCTGCCACATGCACAGTAAGGAAAGTTTGCCAGGGGCTCACTTGCCCACACAAATAGCTCTGCGTGTCACCTGTGGCACGCATGCCATAGGTTCGCCATCATGGAAGTAGTCAATAAACTGGAGGTGCTATTTATCTATTTAACTTAACATTTCTGAGAAAATTTCTGGCCTAAAACCTAGCTTATTCACATGAGCCAGAATAGGAAATGTGGCTATAAACAGACAATTACCTTTTGTTATATTACTGGGACCTAAAGATGTTAGATGTGCGTAGCTCCAAGATTTAAATGCATAATTCATCTCAAAGGGAATACTTCAAAGAAGCAACAAAAATGGATGAGTTTTACTTGGCTGTCAAAAGTGAGGTCTTAACAAGTGCTTTATTTGACAAGTGCTATACTAACCATGCATCTTATCTGCAATAGTGGTGAATATATGTAGCCTGGGTATAAGATGAGAGTGAAGGTTTGTTCTCTGAGCTTGTGGGTTGGTTTCTGAATGTTTCGTTACCAGGCTAAGTAATATCTTCAGCAAAGTTTAGGAGATGTCAGTATCAGTGTTTATGAGAGCTTCAGGTGATGGGTGTTGTGATGGGTCAGGTGTGAGTCACAAGTGAGAGTCTTGTGTTGGGTCTTGTAATGTGGAAGTTACCTCAGGAGAGGGTCACTGGGAGGTGATGGTTGCGGGAGCTTGCATGAGTTGGTTTAGGGCTGGGATTCTACTGTTTTGGACTGGTTCCAGTTGTTATGATTCTGTGCAGTTCGGATAACTGGCAAATCTTGCCCCTGGCTGGCCCTGCCTCTCTCCACCCACTCCTCCCATCCCCTCCCAGTCCTTATCATGCATGCGCGACATCGTGTGCGTGCCCAACATCGCTGACTGCGTTCTCCCCAGCCCAGTCACTCCTTTTTTTTACTCTCCTAATGATCAGCCGTTCCGATAATCAGCTGTGCTGGGATCCCCCTCACTGTCTTACTGCTTCACCCAGGAGGCTTCCTTGAGACCTGGGAGGCAAAAAGGGGCACGTGGGGACGTGGGCATGTTGACAGATTTAAGACTGCCCAGAATTCCTCCTCCAGTCATGTTAGCTCAGGAATCCTGGGCATTGAAGTCCACAAGTCTTAAACTTGCCAAATTTGAAGACCCTTGCTGTAGGATTTAGCTGTGAATCTTTTCCACTGAGGTAACTTTGATGAAACAGATTCTAAAAATGTCCTATGCCCAAATTCATATGTGTTTTCTAAATGACCAAATTCTTATTGTTTTTTTTTTAAATCTTCCAGCAGTTGTATACAAAACTGTAAGTCTGATTGTTAAAATTATGAAATGTAATAATTCACAAAAATTCCAAGTACTCAGAAAGAACATCTCCTGGCATGCTTATGAAACAAAAATAGACTGAAAGCAACTTCCTAAATCTCACCAGCGTGCTACTAACGATAAGGATAGATTCTCAGGCTGGTGTTTTTCTTTAAATTTGTGCTCTTATTTCTTATATCCATAGACCGTTAATATAGTTTGCTGCTCTTGGAGTCTCTGAATTGTGATTGAAAGGAACAGACGTTTCTCAGTTAGAGAATGTCTTATCATTACAGGGTGGGAGGGGGAAACCCTACACTTTTCTTGCTTTTCGAAATGGATCTTTTTTTTCTTTTGCATTTGAATATAGTTCCACCCTATATTTTTGTTTGCAGCTTGTTGATTTCTATGTTTCTATTTCTAGACTAATACGAAAGTACCTTTTGGAAACAAAAGCCTAGATGCTGGATTTTTATTTATTTTTTTTTCATTCCTAGCAAGATGCTACTTTATGGTGTGATTATTAGTCATGGAGCATCAGGTGACATGATTTTCTCTGACCTTGTTTCTTGGGCAAACTACTTTGCATCTAATGCCCAAGTGTCAAACTTGTAGTGTCACATTGCCATCATGCGATGTATCGTGACATTTTCCCCCTTCGCGGAGCTGGGGTGGACGTGGCCCCGTAGGCTGCCAGTTTGACACCCCTGAATGAATTTCTCTGTCTGTGATTCACCTGCAAAAGCCTTAACATTATCCATTGGGTTTAAAGCAGAGGTCTCCAATCTTGGCAACTTTAAGACTTGTGGACTTCAAAGCTGGCTGAGGAATTCTAGGAGCTGAAGTCCACAAGTCTTAAAGTTGAATCTGGATTTCCCATGGATTTTGCTTGTCAGAAGGTTGCAAAAGCTGATCACATGACCTCTGGGACAATGCAACCATCAAAAATATGAACTAGTAGCCAAGCATCTGAATTTTGATCATGAGTCATGGGGATGCAGCATATCATTATAGGCAGTTAACTGTTGAATAGGATTTGCAGACAAGAATCGAAGAGTGATGTTTTGACAAAAAAACCAAATAGATGTAATTTATATTGGATAGCAATCTCTAAAGTGAACTTTTCTGGGTTTATTGTGTTTTCTACCGTGTTTCTCATATAATAAGGCCGGATCTTATTTTTTTTTGAGCCCCCCAAAAATGGCTAGGCCGTCTTTTTGGGGGGTGACTTAATTCCCCCCCCTTGCATCTTCAGGCAGGCGGGCGGCGACGGCTTGGATGTTGATCTCAGCGTTGGTGGGGCACTTTGTATCAGGGTCAATGCAGGCAGCACCATATCCGGGTGTGCAACAAAAGTACTTCCTAACAACCCCCCCCCGCCATTTTCCCCCCCATTTAGCGTGTTTTAATATAGGCCTTAATTTGGGGGGAGGGGCTTAATTTCATTTCATGCCTATAAAACATGCTGGGACTTCCTATTGGGGGAGGCCGTATTGTTGGAGAAACAGGGTAATGTACATCATACATATTGTTTCCCTTTGGGAAAAACTTCACTTAAGAAAAAAAAAGCATAATAATTTTAGCATGTTACACTTCTTCTAACACTCCTAAAATAGTGTGCCTAAAATAGCAGAATGATGCCTTCTAATCACATTGATCAAAAATCATATTAATCGGGGCACAGTGTTAAAACATTTACTGATATGTTCTTGCAGTTTTAAAACGAAACTTTACAGCAGTTTATTTTTCCTTTTTCTCAGTTATCCATACTTTAATTTTTGGACAGTCACAAATCATCTAAGAGCTATTGACTCTGTATGGTTATAACCAGGGGTAGGCTTCAAAAATTTTGGCAAAGGGTTCTCTGCCCGGTTGCTGGGTGGGCGTGGCCATGCTGGGCGTGGCCTACTTGGCCTCCTGCACCATGGGGCGGAACGTTTTTGCCCTTCCTGAGCTCCAGAGGCTATTCTTGAGCCTCCAGAAGGGCAAAAACAGCCTTCCTGGGCTCTGTAGGCTCTCTGGAAGCCAGAAACGGGCCCATTTCCGGCCTTCCCGAACTTCGAGGAGTCCCATTTTCCACCCTCCCCAAGTCTCTGTGCACGCCCTACACTTACACATCCAAAACAGGCTGCATAGGGACTCCTGGGAGGGGAGGGGCAGGATGGGTGGGGCCAGCCAGGAGTGGGATTTGTGGGTTTTTCGAACTGCACAGAAGCTTAGCTAGGGGCTCTCCCGAACTACTACGAACCCCCAGCAGCCCGCCCCTGGTTAAGATATTAGACACGATATAAGGGCCCTCCACGGTTTGTTATTTGAGATAGATATACCAATGAAATTTGTTGTGCCCAAATTGAACTCTAAGTCAGCTGACTCCAATCTTGGAAAACACCAGCAGCAGCAGTTGGTGGTGTTAGCGGGAGGGAGAGGATGTTTTCATTTGTGTAATTTAATCCCATGAATGTGCCAATGGAGCTTTGTACACTCACCCGCCACTTGCACAGTCCGGTTTCCAACAGGCCACGGACCAGTAGCGGTCCATGGATCATGGATTTGGGAATCCCTGCTCTAAGTGACATCTATACAGTTTCTCCATATTTAGAAATGTCACCACTGTAGATATCAAACATGTTATTATATACTAGCTGTTTTGTAATAAATTCATAATTAATCAAAAGGATGTTCAAACTTTGTCTTCAAATAAAAGTGACCGCAAATTTATGGAAAGAATATTTATTTATTTTATTAAAAAAGAGCTTATAAAAGGCAATGTTGTATTAATACTGCACAAAAGAGGGCATCCAGATGATTTCCTTCTTAGTAACTTATTACCCTCAGAAGGTGATTAGATATTTTTTTCCAGCCACACGTTTTCCTCTGTCCCATCAGAGTTCTTCTTTGACCTGCAAGTAAGATGAAACTTGGGTATCAAAGCTTTTATAACACTGAATGATTTAACTTCGTATGTTTTAAAATACCTCATTCTGCTATGCCATTTCCCTTTGTAGTTAACACATATTTTCCAATAATGGGTTTTATTTATTTATTTATTTATTGAATTTACATTGCTGCCTATTCGCCCCTGGCGGCTCGAGGTAGCTTACAGAACGTAAACCATATTTAAAATAAAAAACAATAAAAACTAATAAAAAGAATCAAATAAATTAATAAAGTACAATAGAACAAAATCTATCTATTCGATCTGAAACTGTCTTCAAAGAAAGGTAAGGCTTCCTTGTAGGTAGTATCTGGGACATGTAGATATCAAGATGAGGAAAGAACTTAGAATTCAATGCTTGTTCATATCAATTAGAGTAGCTTTATGTGACCATAGCAATGTCCTCAAGTGATGCACCTACAAATAGTATAGGTCTTACATGATGTGGTATGTAAAGGCAATTAGAAAATTAGGAATATATATGTATATATATATATATATTCTCAAGTTTTTGCGGGTACTTACATGTATGGCATTCAGCTTTGTTCGGGTATTTTCCCACGTCATTGTAGTTGTGCTTTTAAAGTTGTAGCAATGTTTCGGCAGAATCTCATCTGCCATTATCAGGCTTCTGATGAACACTATACAGAAGCCTGATGATGGCAGATGAGATTCTGCCGAAACGTTGCTACAACTTTAAAAGCACAATTACAATGACGTGGGAAAATACCTGAACAAAGCTGAATGTCACCTCTGTTTTTAATTTGTAATATCCTCATCTCGGAAATACAATTTAATTAGGGGAGTAATAGATATTTAAAGGAATACATTTTGACTCTAGTCACAGCCTTGCATTTTGAAAACAAGTTTCAAATCAGTAAAGGATCAGATAATATAGTTTCTTCATGTAGAATACCATCAATTCTAGTTTTTTCTGAATATACAAACCGTTCCTCTCCTTGACCCTGGCAGGTTTTAGCTTATATCTTCAGATTTAGTTTAGATGTATTAGAACCTTTCCTTCCTTCCCTCCTGGTACAAGAAAAGCAATGAAAAAATCCATTTTGGCACTGCAACACTTATGTTTTGAAGCTAAGAGCCCGAGTGGCATAACAATGTTCTCATTAAGAACAGGTCAGGATATTCAACAACCAACTCCTAAAATATTAACTTGTACATGCTATACCTTTGTTCGGTGACAATTACAGGGGAAGAGGTCATCATCAGGCTGTAACACTTTCTCCATGCCATCCCTCACTTTGGGATCACTCACTTGTAGTTTGGCATATTCCTAATGAAACAAAATAAAGAAATAAAGAAGAATATTTTTGTCTTGTTCCTGCAAACAATGACCACTTGTTGTTAAAGGGGCAAAAAGCCAACAACCCTTCAGTTCTACATCGGAATCTTTCCATGCATTTGAGAAGGCTTAAGTAGCTTTTCAAGGGTCAAAAGTCTTCCCGATGCTTTCAGCATCTATTTCACTCATCAGAATTCCAGAAAACTTTCTCAGTATGGGCCCTGAACGTACCACACAAAACCTGGGATGGTCCTTGAGCTGACCAACATTGTGTACTGCTGTTTTAGTACAACAAATGGCCCACACCGCTTTAGGAAGTTTGGATTCTTTTAAGATTCAACATCACTACAAGGTGACTTGCTGAAATATCATCACTTCTCTTAATGCACAGTCTCTGTGTTAGAAGAGGCTCTCCAACGTTCAGCCGTTTATAATCTTTGCTGACAGCTGTTTTGAAGATCCCGTCCTCTCTTTAGAAAGGGATCTGTAGAAGGTCAAATGCATCCTTAGCAAACACTTATTTGAATTTAGGACATAACCCCGGAGTGTCAAACTGGCTGCCCGCGGGCCAAATGCATCATGAGCAGGCCACACCCACCCCAGCTCTGCCAAGGGGAGAAAATATCACAAAATGTCATGTGATGGCAATGTGATGCGGCGAGTTTGACACCTGTGACATAACATTTTCAAGATGCTCACTTGCAGATTCTACCAATAAAACTGTTACTGGTGCATTTTTAAAAGTTTCCCAATAATTTAGACAGTCTGGGTTCAATTCTAAGGTAGCTGAATGCATAATCCATAAAATAAACCATGTTAGAGATAATAAATATGGGCCTAGAGAAAGTACCTATTTGTTATGGGAATGCATGAACGAATTCAATTATCTAGTTCAGGTGATATCCTGCTTTTTATGAGTTGTAAGGTAACCATTAATGTAATGTTACAGAGAGGGAAACCTGATCTACTACTTAAGGTTGTTGTATTGAGGAAAAATGAGGAAGGAGAAAAGTCAATATATTGACCTAGCTCTTTGGACAGAATGTGGGGATTGATAGAATTAAATAAATGAAGGTCATCAAAGAAATGGAGACCTCTTTGAGTGCTCAACTCATAGTAAGAGTAACTGGAATTTAACATTAAAGCTGTAATGTTAATTTTTTTCCATCGATTTTTACACCCACATAGGTTTTCATATATTTTTTTCATGTGTTATTTTTCATTCCCTGCTTTCAGAAATTACTGGGGATAGAAGAGGCTTCAGTTAGCTTATGCATTTGGTAGTTTCACTTTCTCATAGAGAAACTCAAAAGAAGCTGTCCCTTAACTGATAGCAAAATGAAGTATTGATTTTTAAAATGAAACAAAGCTGGGGCCCGCTATTAATCCCCTACCTATCTCAGCAGATTTCATGGTAAGTTCACCAAGGAAAAATGAAACTGACCTGAAATAGTTTGAAATAGTAACAGAATATATGATCTCCCATGAGAGTGTTCCTTGCAAATTCTTGTCCCGCTTTTGCAATGTTCTTTGCCTAATAAGAAGAAAAATGGGGTGGGGAAGACAGGTGGAATAAATACTGAATTAATGTGTGTTCATATTTAAACTTTAGTTTTCCTAAATTTCCTTTTCCACCCGTTCCCATCTACTCATTAATCAGTTTCCAAGGAGCACAGCTCAAAATAAATCAAACTGGAAGAATTAATTAAAAAGAAATATTAAACTACTAGCATTCCTTAATTAGCAGTAATGCTAGCAACAGTGGAGAATGCACATAGCTCAGAGTTGACCTGCTGGTTCTTGTGTGTTCTGAGTTTGTTTCTCTTCTTGCAGGAGCTTCACAGACATGCCATTTACAGGTAGTCCTCTACTTACAATAGTTTGTTTAGTGACTGTTCAAAGTTGCAACGGCACTGAAAAATGAGACATGAATGAGACATTTTTCACAGTTACAACTGCCCTTTGCAGCATCCCCATGATCAGGTGATCCAAATGCAGATGCTTGGTAACTGTTTCAAAGTTATGACCATTGCTGTGTCCCTGTCATGCCCCTATCGGAATCTGTACTCGGAGGAGGAAGACAAAGAAGCTGACAGGGAATGAGGGTGTGGCTCCGTCGGCTGTGGAGGAAACTGGGGAAGAGCAAAGTCCGGCTGGGCAGAGCAGGAGAGAGGTAGAACGAGAGGGAATTCAGAGGAAGACCCAGGCCTACCCCCTCTTCATCCTAGGGCACACAGGGAGGAATGGAGAAGAGAGCAACGTGGGTTGCATGGCTTACGGGGCAGGAAAAGGCCCTGATTCCCTTCCTTAGCTGCAGCTGGGAACACAGCATATAAAAAAGGCAAGCTGCGCGCAGCAAGCTGTTGGGAGCAAACATGATTTTATCTTGTATCATCGTGGCTTGTCTGTGTTCCTGGTGTCTTCCCAACGGTGTGAGTTTTGCTGTGCTTTCAAGTTTGAAATTCCTTCTCCTGCCCTGCCAAACTAATTAAGAGTTTGGAAGAGTTTGGTTTGTTTGGATTTTAAGTTACAGTTTGTGTGTACCTTGATTTGGACTGAATTTTCTACAGTCAAAGGCTGTTCCTGGGAGAGTTTTTCTCTTGCCAAAGGTAACCTGGACATTAGGGGAAAAGTTGGAGATAATAAAGAGACTCTTATTGCTTATATGACTGCCATGCCCTGGGTCATCACAGTCCCAAAGTCACTTTTGGTACTTTCTGACAAGCAAAGTCAAGAGTGAAGCCAGATTCAATTAACAACTGGGTTACTAACTTATCCACCGCAGTGATTCACTTAACAGCTGTGGCAAGAAAGGTCATAAAATGGGGTAAAAATTGACTTAACAAATGTCTCACATAACCACAGAAATTTGGGGCTCAATTCTGGCCGTAAGTCGAGGACCACCTGTAATATTATCAGTGCCACCCAGCGTCATTCCCTGATGCACAGCTATTAAAATTGAACTAAATAAATAAATAAACCAATCACCCTAACTTGGTTATGAAACACGAACAAGAAAACACCAGTAAGCTCATAGCTGTTATGCCCCTGTCAGAGTCTGAATCCGAGGAGGAAGATGAACAGCTGACAGGGAGTGGCTCCATTGGCTTTGGAGGAGGCTGAGGAAGGGCAAAGTCCGGCTGGGCAGAGCAGGCGAGAGGTAGAACAAGGGAGAGGGAGTTCAGAGGAAGAACCAAGCCCACCCACTCTTCATCCTAGGGAACACAGGGAGGAATGGAGAAGAGAGCAACGTGGGTTGCATGGCTTACGGGGGAAGAAGGGCCCTGATTCCCTTCATTAGCCACAGCTGAGAAAACAGTTGATAAGAAAGGCAGGCTGTTGAGAGCAAACCTGACTTTATCCTGTCTTGTCATGGCTTATCTGTGTTCCTGGCATCTTCCCAACTGTGTGAGTTTTGCCATGCCTTCAAATCTGAAATTCTTGCTCCTGCCCTGTAATTACTTCAGTTTGGCTTGTTTGGACTTTAAGTTACAGTTTGTGTTGCTCTTGTTTTGGACTTAATTTTCTGCAGTCAAAGGCTGTTCCTGGGAGAGTTTTTCTCTATCCAGAAGGTAACCTGGACAATGGGGGCAAAGTTGGAGATAATAAAGGGACTCTTATTGCTTATCTGACTGTGTTGCCTTCGTGCCATGCTCCGGATCATCACAATAGCATACAAGAAGACCATAATAAATGATACCAAACGAGAAGTATGAATCAAAAACTAGATTCAGTTTTACATGACAGGACAATCTTCCTCAAATCAAGCTCAACTCATTTGACTTGATGGATGCATCCATATGGTCTTTCTGGCAGCAGCCAAAGAATGATTTGACACTGCTTTCTTTTAAGTAATGTTTTGACTCCTGGGCTAGCCTACAGCCCTGGTATTTCCTGGATATCTTCCATCAAAATACTAACCAAATCTGATCTGTGTATTTCCAAAGCCCATACTAAATCAGACAGATGCTGTCATCTGTGAAATAAATATAAAATAGTGATATCATTTCAAGTTTTTTTAAAAAGTTCCTTAGGCTTGATGTTCCAGAATAAACACACGGGATGGGATGAGGAGGAAAACTGTGCTCATGTTACAGAGTACCAAATTCACAATACTTTCCAATCTTAACATGATAATTCGGACAGTTCTTGCCATGCGAATGAATTAGTGCCTGGTACTTCATAACTCTGCTTGTTTGTTTGCTTGCTTCAACTTGGACACTGACCAAGAAAGTTCATAGCAAACAATAACTAGACAAAAACACATAACAATGGCAATAATCAGACAGCAGAGTCTGAGTCAGTAAGATAAACATGTCATGCGTCTGCAAAGGGTTCCAAACACCCTGGGAGAAAAGCTAGGTCTTCTGGGATGTAATGGGAGGGGCCCAGAGGCCAGATCTAAGCACACCACAGGCCGGATCTGTCCCCCGGGCCTTGAGTTTGACACCCCTGATCTAGATAACGTAATTCTGAGTAGTCAGATTCCTCTGAATCACAGACTGTGCTTTGCAGGTCCTAGGGCCTGTCATGCCCTTGTTGGAGTCTGATTCTGAGGGGGAGATTGAGCAGCTGACAGGGAGTGGGAGTGTGGCTCCGGTGGCTGTGGAAGAAACGGGGGAAGGGCACAGTCCAGCTGGGCATTCAGAGGAAGACCCAGGGCCATCCCCTCTTCATCCTAGGGCACGCAGGGAGGAACAGAGAAGGGAGCAACATGGCTTACAAGAGAGAAAAAGACCCTGATCCCTTTCATTAGTTGCAGCTGGGAGAATAGGATATAAGTGGGGCGTTTGCACATAGCTCCTTGCTGGAAGCAAAGTGTGCATTTTCTTGGTCGAGGCTTATCTGGGTTTTGGCATTCTCCCAACTATGGTTACTGCGTTATGCTTTGAAAATCTGCAGTTTATCATCCTGGCCTGCTGTGTTAATCACTTCAGTGTGGTTTGTGTTGGTTTTTTTATTTCTAATTATCTTTACTTTGGGTTCGGAATGCATTTCTGCCCTTTGTAGACTGTTTTTGGAAGAGTTTGATATCAAGCCAAGGATAATTAGACATTGGGGCCAAGTTGGAGGCATTAAAGGGAATTTGTTCTACTTTTGTGACTTTGTTATTTTTGTGTCACGCCTCGGGGTCCTCACAGGGCCAGCTAAGCTGAGGAGGGAACAATTTCTACCTCAAACCTTGGAAAGCCACTGCCAGTCAAGATTAACAACAGTTTCTGAAATGTTCTCATGACAGTTATCACTGGCAACTGGTACGGGATAAACTAAATATAACCAATTTCCCTCTGTGTGAAGTAATCGTTTTTCATAATACCAAAGACTGGTAACATGGCAATCAATAGAATTTTGTTAATTAAATGCATCTTTACCTCTTCGTCATGATCTTTCGCCCACTGGAGTTTTTCCATGAGATCGCTCAGGTCATTCTTAAATGGAACAAAGTGCTTCCAAGGTTGTAACTCATTATAAAAATGTTCATAGTAGATGGAATCCTGCTTCAGCACTAAGCTGTTCCCGGCCAGCAAGTATGGCAGCCGATATGCAGCCACTGTGCCATCAATATTAATTTGATATTTAGACTGCAAAATACAAACCATACCATTAATAAGCATATAATTTTAGTGGAGGTTCTCCCCACACCCACCCAAGAATTGAACTCTTGACAAATGTCTGCGGAATATCTGGATAGAGGATATTCCACAGATAGAATCATTCCACCCATTATTTGGTTATCAAACTTCAAATTCCTACTGGAAGTGTGGTAAATAAGCAATTTTAGCCAACTGCAGTTCTCTTCAGGACAGGGACAAGGAGCACATCCATACAATTTAACTTTCACAAGTGATTCAATTACATTGTAAGTCGGGGTAGAGAACGTGTGGAACTCTAAATGTTCAGCCCCATTACTTATCCGTTCTTGCCAGCAGAGTAATAAGAAGGGCTGATGGGAATGAACACTGAGAGGACTGTAAGTTATTGAGCAAAGACAATGTAGCTCTTGATTTTAAAAATTGTTACCTTTATTAATAGCAATCGACTATAAAACCAAAGAAATCTGCATCTAAAGCATCAGTAATGTAATATAGCACTTCTATCTCTCCCATTCACAGACCTCGCAAAACATTTTATGTAGATGGGATAACTGAAATACACATACATACATACATACCCAAACACACACACACATGCCCATTTCACTTGTGAGCAATTCTGGCTTAAATCATCATAAAGTAGCAGTATAAAACCATTAGAATGTTAAACATTTAACACATTGAGCATTAAAAATTAACAAAAAACTAGATAAGGAAGCGATAGAAATAGTCCTCGACTTGCGATCACAAACAAGCCCCAAATTTCTGTTGCTAAGTGAGACAGTTAAGTGAATTTTACCCCACTTTAACGACCTGTCTTGCCATAGTTAAGTGAATCACTCAGCGGTGGGATTCAAATATTTTTACCACCGGTTTGGTGGGCGTGGCTTGGTGGGTGTGTTTTGCGCGCATGCACACTTTGCACAGACGCAGAGGCGTTTGTGCAGGCCCAGAGGCATTCTAACTCACCTCCTGCAAGCCTGCACGATCCCGGTTGCTTCAGCAGCTGCCACGCGGCACTCTTCTGTGCCACGCAAAGCAGCTACGCTTCAAATTCAGAGGATAAAGGGGAGTATCAGAGCCTGGGCGGGTGGACGGGCCCAACACCAGAGTCAGCAGAGCAGCGGAGAAAACCGGTTTGGTCTCCGCTGCTACCGTCTCGGCTGAAGCGGACCGAACCAGTAGAATACCACCACTGGAATCATTGTAGTTGTTAAGCTAGTAATATGGTTGTTGAGCCAATCTAATGTCCCCATTGACTTTGTGCTGGTCAGAAGGTCGCAGGAGGGGATCATATGACCCCGGGGACACTGCAGCTGTCATAAATAGGAGTCACTTGCCAAGCGTCTGAATTTTGGTCATGTGACTGTGGGGAGGCTGCAATGGTCATAAATCTGAAAAATAGTCATAAGTGACTTTTTCAGTGGCATTGTAATTTCGAATGGTCACTAAACAAACTTGTAAGTCGAGGACTTACAGGGTGGAGGAAGTGGGATCTTATAGTTTACTCGCCTCCAGAGTGGGATGCCCTTTTGGGTTTTCAGGCCCTTTTCAGAAGGCCAAGAAGATGGAGTGGGCCTCACCTCAAGTAGCATGATGTTTACTTTTACAAATAAGGCAGCAAACATACTTCATACTCCTTCCTCCTCTTATTTTCCTCAAAACAACCTTGTGAGGAATGTTGGGTTCAGAGAGTGACTGGCCCCACACAGGGGTGGGCTTCAAAAATTTTAGCAAAGAGTTCTCTGCCCAGTTGCTGGGTGGGCGTGGCCATGGTGGGCGTGGCCTAGTCAGCCTCCTGCACCGTGGCGGGGGGTGGGCATTTTTGACCTCCCTGGGCTCTGGAGGCTTTCCTTGAGCCTCTGGCAGGGCGAAAATGGTCTCCCTGGGCTCTGGAGACTGTCTGGAAGCCGAAAACAGGGGACGTGAGGCCCACCCTGTACCCCATTTTGGCTGCCAGAGTCACTGCAGGCTGGTTCTTTGCTATTTCCAGGCCGGTCCCATAGACCAGATTAAGCACCCCGCAGGCCGGATCTGGCCCACAGGCCTTGAGTTTGACACCCCTGCTCTATCTACTCCAGAAGCCTTCTCAGTTCTGAGAATACTAGAACTGGAAGGTTTGCAATATTTTATTTTATTCCAATATATTTTTGCAATACATTCTGCCAAAATGAAATTAGATAGATAGATAGATAGATAGACGCACCTTGAAGAAATCAAAAAAGGAAATATGTTTCACAATTGGGCCGTAGAGGCTTTCATCATGCTTGAAAAAGAAGAAATTGGTAAAGGCCGCATCGATGATTTCTGGGAACTTTCGGCTCATTTTTACAAGTTCAAGCCTCTCTTTTCGACTGTCACGACCCCTCCAGATTGCTGTGCTGTTTTTCTCTTCCCATGGCGGCCCAGTATTTGCTTGAACAGACATCATATCCAGGCTGACTCTTAGGGAGGAAAAAATGGCAAAATGTTCATAAGAGAGGGAGTTCTGTGCGTAAGTTTCAGGAAGGTCTTACACCCAGGAGGAAGGTTTTGCTCATTAACAGCTTTTCTCTTTTCCATCCTTAGATGCTTCTTACTGATAGGATTAAAGCAGGGGTCCCCAAACCCCGGGCTGCAGCCCACTATGGGGCCTTGAACCTTTCGGAACCGGGCCACAGAAGCGGTGGGCGATTGCGCATGCACATACCCACTTGCCCCAGTAGTGGGCAACCACATGCGCAAGGGCACCCCCAATCGCACGAGTAGATCACGTGCATGCGTGCTTACCTGCCCTGCGTGACCCCTCCCCCGCAGGACCATCCTCTCTCTCCCTCCCCCCGTTGATATGTAAAGCCAAAAAAGTTGGAGAACTCTGGACTAAAGAAGAAATGCCACAGACTGGATGACACCCCAAGGAGAGACTTAATAGTAGAATAATTTAAATGCGTGAAATAAACTCTGTAGACACAGATTACAATGGAAACCAATCATGCTCAGCTAACATTTTCTATAAACAATACAGACATTCTTACCGCCCCATTGTTTCTAACACAGAATCTGTCAGGTCATAAGTTGGCATTACAATATCTTTGGAATCATTGGATCCACACCAGGAGAATATGGGTTGGACATCCTGAGAAGATTTCTTTTTTTCCAATGGCCAATCTCCCAAATTCACAAAGAACTCTACATCTGGCATTTTCACCTAAACCAATAAAAAAAGACTTGATTTGTATTTTAATATTCTTTTTTATTTACTTGTTTGCTTATTCAATTTCTCCCAGTGGCAATCAAAAAATTCTTGGAAGTTACCAGTTCCTCAAATAAGATTAAAATAACTTTTTATTTTATTTATTTATTAAATTGTATGCTGCCCATCTCCCTTATAAAGTGACTCTGAGCAGCCAACTTTTCCTATATGCTTAATTTCTGAAGTGGATTCTAGCCATTGAACATTTAAGAGAGCATAACTGGAACATTAAATGGCAGATACGTTTCTTGTAGAAGATGATTAGCAAACATATATTATGTAGTGTTGGAATTACTGAGCTTCATTTACCTTCTATAATTTTCTGGCATATATTTTTATTCATTTGCCCAAAAACATCAAAATTTTGCATTATACAGCAGTAATCAGTACATGGCAGAGGTGGTATTCAGCAGATTCTGACCAGTTCTGGAGAACCGGTAGCAGAAATTATGAGTAGTTCAGAGAACCCGCCAATACCACCTCTGACTGGAGATTTTACACTATCCTTCCCCTGCCATGCCCACCAAACCGGTAGTAAAAAAATTTGAATCCCACCACTGGTACACGGTATTTATTTAAATGCTGTGTGTAAATTACATTTAGAATAGTGGAATCTTTGGTGCTCCCTGAATTTGGTTGTTTGCTTGCAGACATTTCATTACGTCATTTATGCAAATACGTGTTCAGAGAACCTCATGTTCAACTTTGAGCTATATATTTCTCTTCAATTGGATCGCTTAGAATACTGCAATGTAGGCTAGTATTATTATTCTCAACTTTATAACTGAATGAAAATAGTTACTTTCTTAAATCAATGCATTTGTCAAATCTGCATTTGCTCGACTGTTTTTGTCAAAAAAAATTATAAAATATTAAGGCATTATTTACTATCTCTTTAACGAACAAGAGAATTTTTTAATTTCAAAGCCAAACAATTTATGAGTACAATGCCATCTAGCGGTCTATAGTTCCACTCTATAGTTTTCAGCAACTACGCATCAACCTTTCAAAGGTTTTTAAATAAGTTCCCGAAAGTCAAAGTACAATACTTCACTTCAAATTTGTAAAGTCCTTTAAAGCTGCCTCCTGTTCAAACAGGGAACAAGTTTTTGGACTCGTGCTGGAGCCCGTCCTAAGGGAACTTTTCTCTCTGTCTATGTGTAGTAGTAGCTTGGCTCTATTACTGACTAGTCTGTTACTTTGAAAATATTCAGAGTGGTATTTTGAGATTTTCTACAAGTCCTGTATTATTCTTTCAATGATGAGATTCAAAACCCCTGGTCATAGCCCAGCATGAACTGTGTACACGGTCTAGCATTACCAGAATATACAGAATTTTTGCAATGAGCAGAAATAAATTTGGTCTGCTCTTACTAGATAGAAAATAAGATCAGTAATCCAACATGCCAGCCAATATTTACTTACAGCAGAGTTGGCTTATATGTTTATGAAGTGAGATTGACTGTTTTTTTTGTTCTTTTTTTCATCTTTTGATTTGTTTAAAGCAAAAATTAAAAGAAGTGCATTAAGCCTTTCATGGGCTTAATAGTAATATAAGCTGTTAGATCAATGGCCCCCAATCTTTTGGGCACCAAGGATCGGTTCTCTGGAGAAAGATTTTTCCGTGGACCGGAGGGGGGCGTGGTTTCGTGTGCTGCAGCATGCATCCTGCAGATGGGGCTTCATTTGTTTCCGTGGACCAGTTTCTGGCAAGTCACAGACCAGTGCTGGTCCACGGGCCGGTGGTTTGGGGACCCCTGTGTTAGATGACAGTTAAAAAAAAATCAAACATGTGATGAGGAAAGCTCATGTAGACTACTTCTATAACTGTGATGGCAAACCTGTGGGACGGGTGGCAGAGCCATTTCTGCCGGCATGCGAGAGGTCACCCAGAACAGCTGCACTGCACATGTGCGCGCCCCCCCACCAGACAGCTGATTGTTGGGTATCTGCTGCACATGCGCAGGGGGAGACATGTGCACATGCACAGGGGGCGGGTGGCATGGGGGGACACGCACGCATGCACAGAGGCGCACGGTGCAGGGGGTCACGTGTGCATGCACAGAGGCATGTGGTGCACACGCAGGGGGTCACACATGCATGCACAGGGGGCACGGGGGGGTCATGCACACATTGCATTATGGGTGGAGGCACATGGCGAGGAAAAGGTTAGCCATCACTGTTCTATAATATGGGCCACATAAGAGAACCGATTTTTTCCCCTGCAGGAATAGCTAAACAGATAAGTCATTTGAATTTTATGAATGTCTGAGTATCAAGAAATTCAAACATGGAAATCCAATCTGTTACAATCTCTCTGTATGTTGTGGTTGAAGGAGGTCTGATCCAGACTGGAACTAATGCACTAGGAATGAACAAGAGAGAGGTTGAGCAATTTAGGACCCAAAACTCCGATTCAATCTCCGTGAAGAAACTCAGAAACACATCCATGTATCCTAATCCATGCCTAATTGTTACGAAGAGGGTCAAATACTCATGTATGGAAGGGATGTGAGGAAAAGAAGAAAGTATTTCTTTCTTACTTCATTACTTTTATAAATTTCAAAGGATTCACTTAATAATTAAAATCGCATCCCATCTTTTTATTAGGTTTAGCAGCCAGAGCTTCAGTCTTGACTCAAGGCGTATCTTTTTAATAACAATGAGAATAGTTTTGGTAGAAAGCAACCCCAAAATCAACGAGCGAGATTTTTGGCCAAGTACGGTTTGAACCTGGGTGTCGTTGTTAGCAGTCGGACAATTCTAACAGCTCTACTTTGCGTAGCTTCAATTTTGAGAACATCATGCGAATTGCCATTGTGCAAACTTCCAAAAATTCTCACTTCCTTCCAGAGGAGACAAAAGAAAACCTCCAAACCACTAAAACAATGTCATGTTTTACTTCAATATATGTCCACTGAAAGGGAATGAGTACACACACACACACACACACACACACACACACACACACCCCTCTTGTATTTCCAGCATGCTGCCTTAATTAGATAAAGAAGCATAGAACTTATTGCCATTGAGTCGACATTGATCATTTGGATAACAATAGATATCTCAATGTGGCAGGCCCACAAACAGCTACCAAAATTATTCCTTTGATCACAAGAGAAAGGATATATTTTTCAGAACTGAGGAGTGGGCTGAGACAGCAGAACTAATTGGCAAGTGGTTATTTTCTACCATTTAAATATGCCCGCTTTCATAGTGTCCTGCTGCTACAATACACCTGAAGATTATCAAAGCAGCCTAGATAGATAGATAGATAGATAGATAGATAGATAGATAGATAGATAGATTTGTCAACCATTCAGTCATGGAGGTATGGCTGGGCTTTGGGGGGACTATTTAGGCAACTTTAAAGTGGACTTTGAGGACTTGGGAAACAGGAAGGATAACTCTGCAAGTGTATGACAAGTATTTGGTTGGAAATTCTATCATCCCTGCAGATGTATGCCATAAATCAAGGGTATTTAAACTTGACAAGTTTTAAAACTTGTGGACTTCAACTTCAACTCCCAGAATTCCTGAGCTAACATGACTGGAGGAGGAATCCTGGGAGTTGAGGTCCACAAGACTTAAAACTGTCAAGTTTGGAAACTGCTGCCATAAATAACCATACCTCTGCATTTCTCATTTTGATGCAGGTAGCAAAAATACTCTTTTCTTGACCTAGATGGGAGCCAGGGCACTTTAGATGAGATTAAACTACAACTCCCAGCAGTCAACATGGCTAAGGAAGAGGAAGATTGGGAGTTTTGATATAGTAACATCTGGGAGGCCATAGATTCCTCATGCTGCTATTACTCATTCTGCGTCCTTTGAGGATTCTTGTTTTATTTAAAAACATGAACAACTTTGGCTGAGCCAGCTGGATTTTTATACCTGAAATACTTACGACAAACCCTTTATGGAGACTTGGCTAGATCATTTATACAGGTGGGATTCAATATTCTGTATACAACATGGAGATTTTTGGAGCCCCATTCCCACTGATGCATTATCCAGTATGCTGAAAAAAGCATCCAATACCCCAGAGAGCATCTATGTGTCTAACTAGAAAAATAAATCAGTAGCTTTTCCTTCCACGGAAGGAAATTAGACACAGACCTAACAAAAAAAAAAAAAAAAGAGGAGGTGGACTTGCATTATATGTAAGGGATTATTGCATCTCTACAGCGATGCATAAAACCAAGCATGAAAACCTCCTTGAATGCATATGGGTCAATATAAAAAAAAGAAAACAGAATGGCATTACTTCAAGCGTATAATACAGGCCACCCAACCAAGCAAAAAAATATAGATGACCTTTTTGCTAATCAGTTAACAAATGTATATCAACTGGGGAACAAAATAGGTATCAAGTGAGATCGAACAGGTTCCTGACTAAACCAGCTGACAACTTTGTCATCCTAAAGGTTAGAGGCAGGAGTAGAAGAACAACTACCCTGGAACTAATTCTTACTAATGGATGAAATGATTAAGGGGATTGATGTTGCAGGAACTTTGGGGGAAGAGTGACCATGTCATATTGGAGTTCAATAAAATGCAGACACAAGCAATATAACATAATCAAACCCGTGTCTTAGACTTTAAAAGAACTAATTTCAACAAGCTTAAAGAGACCTTGGGAAGGATTCCATGGCTGAAAATCTTAAAAGGAGAAAACAACTCAAGAAGCTGTTCACACGCAAAGCATTAGAGCTTTCCCCATCCTTCCATTCATTTTTTTTTAAATCTTCACTATTCATACTCTTACTGAACTCTGGATATGGCAGAAGATACGTTGATTCAATATAAATTGAAGAATGCTAAAAATAAAATGATTTATAACATAGTTAAAGGAAATACTCACTTTTCTTGTCAAAGAAAGTAAAATAGCATCCATGAAAATTCTGAATCCAACATGTTCACCATGGGTCTTTATATAAATCTAAAGTAATTCAAGAATCACAAATTAGGGATGTTTTTTTTCCTTTCCAAAGCAATAGTAGGGTCATTTCCATTCTCTTACTCCCCCAAAACAAAAAAAAAACATGTAGAGTTCACTTTCTGTAACTTTGGATTGTGAAACTCATGAGAATTATTGTTTATCCTTGCCAAATTGATACTTTTTACGATAGGCATGGATCAGAGTTCTTATCACCCTCAGAAAGAATAACTATGCTGGCTGGGGTGAGAGAAATTATCATGCTACTCCACCGGATTAGAAAGGATCCAGTCAGCAAGAAATGAAACTGGTTCCATATCCCCCGGACGTTGAAGTAACTTCTATTATTCCTATTACAGCGGATTCTCCGGTCACGACTGTTAATCCTTCCAGGACTTCGGTGGCAACCCGATTTGGACATGACAGGAAGCAAGACTGACTGTGTATGCACCTATCCAAAAAAATGGCACGGCAGGGGAAATTGCCGTGGCAGGGAAAATCACCGCGGCTGTGTTTGATCCAGTGGTAGGATTCAAATTTTTTTACTACCGGTTCTATAGGAGTGGCTTGGTGGGAATGGCTTGGCTTGGTGGGTGTGACAGTGGAAGGATACTGTAAAATCCCCATTCCCTTCCCACCCCACTAACCTGCTTCCCAGCTGCGTTCTCCTGTGCAGGGCAACAAAAGAAGACCCAGCCGATCAGCTGGGACTTGGGAGGCAGGGAATAGATGGGGGCAGGGCCAGTCAGAGGTGGTATTCTGAACTACTCAAAATTTCCACTACTGGTTCTCCAAACTACTCAAAATTTGCACTACTGGTTGTCCAGAACTGGACAGAACCTCCTGAATACTACCTCTGGTTTGATCGCCACCTGAGGATGTATTCGTGACCAGAGTGAAACATTTAGCAGATTTTTTTTTTGGTCAGCACCCGATTTGGTTGTGGTCAGAAGCGTTAGTAACCCGAGGTTCTACTGTAATAATGCCTTTAACTTAGAAAGGTTCTTCAATTCATGGCCAATAATGCACTCCATAATTGCTTAGTATTTATTATCGCAAACTGTAGCAATGGCTGTTATATCAAATGACTAAGCACTGCAGAAACCGATGATAGAGAGGTATAGGAGAAACTATTTAAGTACAAAGGCTCTATGTACAGAGGCAACTGACTTTTGCATCCTGTTCATCTCCCAGCTTCCTTGAATCCAGAGAAACTACTTTCCCTCATTCTTTGGGCTTCTTCTTTTAAGACATTTACTTGCAGGACAGCCATTGTCATTTGTGGTACTATAGCACAGGGTGTACCTTGTTGTCTTTTATGGTATAATGGCACAAGCTTTGCCTCTGCCCAAACCGTTGTGGGATTTCTTTGGCAATTTTATCTGGATCGATGGTGGGAAAATGTGCCAAATCTCTCTGAATCTGCTCAATTGCTTGAGGACAGCTCATCACCTCCAGCCAAACTCTCCCATCTTCCTGAGGGCAGTCACAGTTTTCATGGTAAACAGGTCCTGAGGGCAGTCACAGTTTTCATGGTAAACAGTTACTTTAAAGTTACATCATGCATTTTGTCAGAATGATCCTCCTTTCTGAATGGATGTGGGGCTTCTGTGATTCAGCAAAACAACTGTGTGTTACATAACTGTTCAAGCAAAGGACCCTGACTGTTTTAATTGGCCTCCCACATCTGGGCTCAATCTACAGGTAGTCCTTGACTTACAACAGTCCACTTAGTGACAGCTCACAATTACCACGGCATTGAAAAACGTGACTTACGATTGTTTTTCACAGTTACCACCTTTGTAGCATCCCTGTGATCCTATGAATCAAAATATCAGTTGCTTAGCAACCGGTTCATATTTATGATTGTTGCTCTGTCCCAAAGTCACATGATCCCCTTTTTGCGACTTTCTGACAAGCAAAGTCAGTGGGGAAGACTCGCCATGACCAACTCGTCACAGGACAACTCACCAGGTCCAATTCACCTCAGGAACGACAGTTGCACTAATGTTGAAGAAATAGCGGAACAGAATCATTAAGGAAAGAATGCCAAAGGAGGCACAAAATGAAATATGAATAACAAAAGTTAAATTATTTAAAATAATTGAATTGTTGTCCCAAAAATTGTCCCATGAAAAATTGGCCATGGTGAGTTGTCCTGCTTGAGTTGGCCACAATGAGTTGTCCCATTCCGCAGTAAATGCTGGTATTGGCAGAAACATAATAAATCATGGTCACATGACCCAGTGATGGAATTCTACCAGTTTCTCTACCGGTTCAGTGATCACTCACTTCACGCACACCTAACACGCACACAGCTTTCTAGGCTTTGCCACACCAATCAGCTGAGAGGATAAGGAACAGAAAAGCGCAGGAACAGGTGGGAGGGTTGATCCTGCGCTTTTCTCTTCTTTCTCCTCTCAGCTGATTGTTTGAGCTTTCTTTTACTACCGGTTCGGTAATACTGGGCCAAACCGGTAGCATTTCACCATTAATATGACTGCAAAACAGCCATAAATGTAGACTAATTACCGATCACCTGAAATGTGATCATGTAACTGCAGCAAGGAGATTTTAAAAAAGCTCATAAGAACCTTTTTGGGGGGAATCCACTCTAATTTCAAACAGTCACTAAGTAACTGGTCCTAAGTTGAGGACTCCCCGTATTCCTTTCTGCTCTTTCCTTTGTTCATTCATAAAAAAAGTAACATTTCTGCATTTTCAGCACCTCTCAAGTTGTAGATTCACTCTCATCCTCTCTTGGAATAGAAATTGTAGGGGAAAAGGAAAATTAAAAGAAAATATTGATTCTAAACAAGACAAACTAAACTGTAGGAGGTTTGTACATCCTTGCACTGAAGGTTACATTTTTAAAAATAATCTGGTTTCAAGCACCATTATAGCATCATCACCTTTTAAAATATATGGAGATTCAGCAACCTGTTTGCTTTTTGCCCAAACCTCAATTCTCAAGTTTTTGTAGCTTGCATACATTCTGTATCGCACAATGAAGGAGCCATCTTTCCTGTCCAATATTTGCACTCCCACTCGTGTAAATTGCTCCTCGGGTGCTGTGATCTTCACCTGAAATGCTTTTTCTCCAGGGGAGGTGGTAAATCTATCCAAGAGATAAAAACAAGACAATTATGGGAGAAGGAGAACTAAGTTTTTTTTTCTTCTGTAGGTTCATTTCCACACATGGAAAGATTTCAGAATTCTTACCAAAAGAATGAGCCTGATATACCCTTTTCCATTCAGGCAACATTTTGATGCAGTTTCTGGCCAGATTGTACACTCTGCTAAACAAATAATTCCCACAATACTGTCCAACTATTTACTAAGTCTGCATTACTATCACTATTAATCTTCTCATCACTCCTATCCCCTCCCACTTGTGACTGTATGACTGTAACTTTGTTGCTTGTATCCTTATGATTTATATTGACTGTTTCCTAGTATGATTTGATTGCCTATTTATACTCTATGTCTATATTAAGTGTTGCACCCTATGATTCTTCATGAATGTATCTTTTCTTTTTATGGACACTGAGAGCATATGCACCAAGACAAATTCCTTATGTGTCTAATCAGACTTGGCCAATAAAAAATTCATTCATTCATTCAGTTTCCATGGTAGCTAGAAATGGTGAGAGATCTAGTCTTAACCATTCAGAAAATGCCAAGCTAGAGAAGGGTAATCTACTTTATTAAAATGCATCACAGTGTCTATAAAACTTATTTTTGACAAAATTCAAGGAATTATCTTCTATATGAATTTCTTATCAAGCTATTCCTGTATACTAAGACCATCAGAATGGTCGCAGATAACCCCCGTTAATGTTGTCTTCAGGAGTCCTGAAACCACTTGTTACACATAAATGAGCAATCTGACTTTATTGTTGAATAATCCTGATAATCCTTCCTGATAATCTTTTAAAATTATTTCTTAGAAATTCCATTTCCTCAGAACTCAGTTCAGGAAGTGGTATCCTGGGGCTACATTTCTGATATAGAAATCAAATGTCTTAAAACTGCAGAATCAGCAGAGATACCATTGTTTCACAAACATAACAAAATCCAGATATGTGAACCTCAACTACTAAATTTAGCAAGGACCATGTCACCTGAAGCAACTGTAGGTTTGGAAATCCACACGTTGGTAGGCACCCAGGTGGAAAAAAAACATATCTCTAAAGCTTCTGTAAGCCTAAAGCCTCTATAAAGAGATTAAATCCATAGTCTAAAATTATTTTCACTGTTGGATCCAGACCTGAACAACACGACTGAAAATAGATCATCAAATAACATTTTGAGGATAACCTAACATGCTTTCCTTTCTATATAAAATGGATATTCATTTTATATTGCTCATCGATCTAGTGAATAATGTCATTATGACACAAAATGTTACACATAAATCCAAACAACTATATAAGTCATACATGGGATAGGATTCCTAAAGATTGTGTACAATTGCATGGTTTCATATTAGACCTTGGGAATGTGCCTGGTTTTTTTGTTTCAAAGAAAAACTCAGAATCCAGTTTTTCTTGTCATCTCAAAAGTTGCCAGTTGTTTCCAAGGTCTACTACAGGTAGTTTTCGACTTACAACAGTTTGTTTAATGACCATTCAATGTTACAACCGCACTGAAAAAACATGACCGTTTCCCATGGTTACAATCTCTGCAGCATCCTCATGATCATGTGATCAAAATTCAGTTGCTAGGCAACAGGTTCAAACTTCTGACCATTGCAGTGTAACCCAGGTCATGTGATCACCTTTTGCAACCTTCTGACAAGCTAAGTCAATGGGGAAGACAGGTTCACTTAACAACCAGGTTACTAACTTATCAAGGGCAGTGACTCACTTAACAACTGTGGCAAGAAAGGTTGTAAAATGGAGCAAAATTCACTTAACAAATGTCTCACTTAGCAACAGAAAAGTTGGGCTCAGTTGCGGTCGTAAATGGAGGACTACCTGCATATGAGTTTAGGTAGCTATACGAATACAGAAGTTTAAGCTGGAGTTTAAGTAAGCAGATATACAATTGTTAAGCTACAAAAAAAGCCCTACCCACATTGTCACCCGCAGGTCTACAGTGGAATCATATTAACCTTGAATTGTTTTACAGACCTCTTTCCTGTATCTCCCCATCATTTAAAAAGCCGTTATCTAAAGAAACGGTGCTTACCTTTTCCCTTCAGTATCCACAGCCTGGATATAAAAATATCGAGCAGGAAGAACAACTCCTGCTCTCAGTCCAGGTCCCCATAGTAAACTTCTTTCCGGACTTAGCTGGGCTCCATGAAGTGATTCACATATTACAGAGATTGTCCCCAGAGCTAAAAAGCAAGTCAGCCAAATGCTAAACATTTACAGGTTTTCCTTTTTTAAGAAACAAAGCAAACCAAATGCCAGGCAGAGGAGCGGGAAGCCCAGGCGAACTGCTTTGTTAGGTAAAAGTGAGCAGAACTATGCACTATGTGGTTCTCTCTAAATATTTCCTCAGCCACACACCATTTCCTGATGCTTTCTTAAATGTACGCTCCAATCCTTCCCAAGCGTCCTTTGAAAAATTCCTATCCAATCATTTCAAGTTAATTTAAAAAAAAAAAAATCTAGAAGTGAATGTCTGGTTTTGCTCTGAATAACTTAGGAGAAAGAGGGGATAATGAACAAAAGCTGTATCCCAATTCCTTTGTTTTTTTTTTTGCCTGTGCAGCCTTTCACTCTTTTTTCTTCAGTAACATCTTACAATCACTGCCAAGCCCAAAGGGGTGGAGAAGGGAAAGGAATAGGATCATTGGTCCAAGAAAACTTCTTCCGAAGGAAAAAATCACACAGGGAGCCACTTCCCAGGTTCAGCAGTAATGCTGGGAATTGTAGTCCAATGGTATCGGGAAATTTGGAAGAGTTTATATAGGCAGAAAAAAACCCTGATGGAATTTAGGGAAATCGGATTCTTTTTTTATATATTAAAAAAACACTTTAAATATGCCAAAAAAGCATCTTACTGCTTAAAAGCTCCCAATTTTGCAGCAGTAAAAGATGTTAGAGAATCTCACGATGATTTAGTTTATTATCTAAAGAACATAAAATCACAGGAGCAGAGACACAGGAGCCCACATGCCTGATGTAATTTGAGTTTTAAATTAAAAGCATATTGGCAAGATCTTGTAAAAGGCTACTGTGTTTGCAAGCTTACCACCGACAGTTTTGCCTCGCTTGCAGGCTAGGAAGCATGGCGTTCAACCAGGTTGATGGGTATCTTTAAAAAGGAATATAATGGCTTAAACAAACATATTACAATCCGGATCTCTCCTTTATCTCTTCAGCTTCTCCTCGCTGTTCAGCTATTACCCTACCCTAATTTGGGAGCACTGAATTAAGCTATTTTTCAAGCAGCCACAAAGAGGATCGTGCTAAAAAAAAAGGTGCATCTCAAGATCTTTAAAGTGATTTTTGTTCCCCTAGACAAGACTGCAGCCTCGGGAAATCCAATCGATCCTCCTACCGCACTCTTAATTCGCATTCATATGCAGTACCGATGAACAAAAATTTCTACACCGCCCCAAGCAAAAGGATTCTTGCCATCCGACTTCCTTCAGTGACCGGTTACCTCTCACCCGAAGAAGCACCGATCATCATTCGAGGATTAAAGAGAGGCGGGAATCCTTTGCGTTAAAGGGATCTTCCACAACCTTGGCCCCCTTTTAAGACTTGTGGACTTCAACTCCCAGAATTCCTCACCCAACCATGTTGGCTGGGGAATTCTGGGAGTTGAAGTCCACAAACTTTAAAGTTACCGAGGTTGGCAGTCCCTCCCCTCCCCCCCCCACCCCGCTACTGCTCGCAAGCCGAAACCAATCAGATCCCGACTTTTCAGCACGCGCCAGAAGGACGAGCAAGGTAATTGGCAAAAAGGTCCAACATACGTCACTTCTCTGGCGAATTAGAAAAGAGTAGCTCGATGCCAATCAAGATGCACAATTGCCACCCCGGGAAAAAGGGCGTGGTTTACGGGGGGGGGGAGCGCGCGCGTTAGGCGAGAGCTCGGTGACGCGCATGCGCGCCCTTGCACAAATTGGAAGAGCTATTGCCGTTAGCAAGCAGGTAAAAAAGATGGAGAACGGTAGGGACAGGCGCAATATGATATGGTAGAAGATCTTGAGAGCCTGCTTATTTATTTATATTTATATACATATTATATATTTAAATTACGGAGTTGCTGGTGTGCTAATCATTTACAGAAAAGGAGAAGAGAAGCAGGCGAGCGCCTGGAGTAAGTAAGGACAGACAAATTTCTTGTGCTTCTTCATTCTTTTGCCGGGAGCAGAAACCCGGGATGCAATCAAAGGTGGATAGAGATGTTATCCTATAAGGAAGGGCGTGGATGCATTTCAGGGAGAATCTGAAAAAGTAAGAGTCGGAGCTCCCTTGAAATAACAGTAGTACATCTTGCAGAGGAAATGCAAGAACAATGCAACAGAACGTAATCGCATGTTGGCCCTCCAGGTGTGGCTGAGCCACAATTTCCAACAACAACACAAGCCGGCGTTGCCAACTATGGGGGGAAACGCTGCGAGAGGAGAGCTAGCCACATCTTGGACAAAAGCATGCACGCAGGGCTTATCCATTGCACCGTCTCCCATTGGAGCACAAAACCTTTGGTAGGTGCCACTTTTGGAATGTGCAGTTGAGGAAGCCCTTGCTTCCATTCCTATTCAATGTTAGCGTTGAGTTTCAGGTGCACGTGGTTGCCTCTGGTATTGCTGCAAAACCATAGCAGCAGGGTAGAGGATAAATGGATTATTTTACTCCTTTGACAGTATGCTTAGGGGAAAGATTTGGGGTGATGGCTGATAAATAAACAGGTCTTGTTGCTATGCTGGTCTGGAAAAGTGGTCTTTTTGTAGGCTAATATTTTTTGTGGTTTCTTGGGGATGTTCTGTATGTTTGAAAATAAAATGCTGGATCTGCTGGACTGTTGACTGTTCTAATTGGAAACTATAATCCTTTAGTTATTTCTACTGTAGAATATTATCTATATTCTCTTTCTGTTTGTCTAGACAAGCAGTGTTGAACTGAGTGGTTTCTGAACACTTACCATTGCCTTTCAAACTGCACAGTATTTTCATCTTGGAGAGGATTTAATAAAGCTTGCAGAATTAGTGAAAGGAATTACTCAGTAATGGATCAAAAACAGACATCTGATTCTGATACCTTTTAAATGTGTTTGAATCAAAATACTTAGCACTCCCAGCACTTTTGAGCACAAGTTCAAAGAACTCTTTATTCAAAGCATTTAGGGTATTTTAAACTTAAATAATGGATGGGAAGGATATGTGTTAAAAAGCTGATAAAAGATTAGATGGGATGTAGGATAAAATATCCCTTTGAATTAAACTATAGGAAATGTGATGCACAAAGTGAAATATTTTTCCACATATGTGTTAAATCCTGAGATTTCTTTTAAGATGAAAAGGTGATTATATGGCTTTTAAAATGACATTTAGTGTAATGTTTCTGGAGTCGGAAAGGTTAATTCGATTTGTACCCACCATGCTATATAGCAGCAGTCGCCAACCGGTGGGCCACGACCCCCCTAAAGCAATTAATCCAAGGCTGTGCCACCCACATGGCCCGTGGGAACCCTCCCCACCCACTCACTCCTTACCCGGCAAACTTGTCTGCTAAGTTGCTATTTTTCCTTTTTCCGGCTATCAGCTATTCTGCTGTGCCTGGAGATTTAGATTAGCTAGGAAGCAGGAAATGATTGGATTTCTTGCTTTCTAGCTAGTCTTTAAGTCTTCGGCTCTGCTTTTAAACACACCTGAACCTCCCTTAGGACTGAAGGTTCTATTATTCAGTACAGACATAAAAAAAAATCAATATTTACATACATGGTGTGTTGTGAGTTAATTTTGTGAGTTTGCTTGCAAGCAAATTTTATGTGACAGACTGAGCTAGCCAATGGCAGATAAAATAGATCTCTGAATGAATCTGTGATTCTGTGAGTGACTCAATCTGCCTGCCTGCTTTGCCTGATTTTGAGTAAAAGTTGCTCTTTTTTTATAAAAAATTCAATATTTATATAAATATTTATAATATTTACATACAAGCCATGCCCAGCCAATCACATGACCACCAAGCCACACCCACAAATTAGGCCATGCCCACAGAACCAGTTAGTGGTCCCTGGGATTTAAAATTATGGGTTTGGTGGTCCCTGAGGTCCAAAAGGTTGGTGACCCCTACTATATAGGATTTCTGAATTCAGAACTGTCTAATCTCTACTTTGTCAATTAATAGGGTAGTTTCTACTTCATGGCAAACTATAGACAAAAAGGGTTATGCATAGTTAAAACTAGTAAGATATGAAAAATGTTGACTGATTACTTTTATGAACCTATTTGATAGGTTACTAGGTTAGATTAGCTTCATTATTAAAACAGTTCTTAATTTAGTGCAAGAGCACTTGTTTGAAATCACAGTAAGTTTTGATTGATTATGTGCCATCAGGTTGCTTTCAACTTCTGGCAACAACATCCATATCCTTTCTCCATGACAGTATGTTCCTAACCTAGTCCTCTGGATCTTCCATCAGAATACCCGTTCCCATTGTAATTGAGTCTATCCACCTGACACCAGTAAAAATCGATGTTGCAAATTTTCCACATATAAGTTCTGGCACTAACCATTTAACTTGGATAGCATTGCATTTCTGGACAGACCTTCTAGGACCATTAAACAATGCTATCATATAGACATGGGCACCATCACTAAAAAAACCTTTGTTAGCTACCTTCCTTGCCTAATTCATGGATCAGCTAAGGAAGAGTTTCATCTGAAGATCTTTGGGCCCTGATTGATAAATTAGGGAGGAAATGTACTTTCAGTTGGTTTAAAACAACTTAAATATTTAAATAGAAATCTTCGCTTGACTTTTACATCTTCTTAGTTGAGCCTGAAATTCATATAAGTTCCTCTGAAAACATGTATAAGATAAGAAAAAAATTGATGATGTGGACAAGCCCTTAGTTTTTGTTAGAAATATTTTTTGTACTTTGGATTTTTAGCTAAAAGATGTTTTCCTTTTCATTTCAGAAAATTTGAAATACATCTTGAAAATCTTGAATAAGTGTAAACTATGTTTGAGTGCACAAAAAAGATTTGATGTACCTTCCTCATCTGGGAAGAAGAAACTACAGGTCATTCAATGCCTAACATTGAAGACTCTCAATTGGAGAGTGATTCTGAAGAAAATGAGCCCAGAACTGGAAGGAAGACTTCAGAAGTTAATCTTCACGGTACTGTGAAATCATTTTGTGCTCCAGGTACCTCAGGGGCCTCTCTGAGTTCTGGTGGAGACAGGCATTATCCATGGGGATGTCCTGTGACTCACACCCGAGAAAAGTTTTATACCATTTGTTCGGACTACGCTTTTTTAAATAGGGTAACATCTATCTGCAAAAGCCCAAGTGCTACAGTGAGTGCCTGCTTACAAGATGGTTCTGCCTTAAATGATGGAAATAATTCTGCTTTTATTAGTGTTCGAACTGGACCTTCAGATATAGTTTACAACGATGATTCTAACCTGGAAAGTTTATCTATTAGTCTTGGAAAACTGCCATTGGCATGGGAAATTGATAAGTCTGAATTCAGTGATACATCCCCAGATTTGAAAAATCGAGCAGGTACATTTGTCATTTTATTTAAGCATTCTAGATCATCTTTCTTAATCTAAGAAATGAAAATATTTTTATCCTGCCATTTTGTTGTTAGTTTATACATTAAGTACTATTACACTTTCAATATTTAAGAAACAACTGTAGTTATATAAATAAAAGATGTTTAATTTGCCAAAATCATATCTTGAACCTAATTTTATTAGTTTACATGCTCACCATTCACAACTGCAGTGTTCGAGTGG